AAGTTAATGGAGAGATACTAAAATCATGGACGAAAGAAATGCTGCCTACCCTCTCCTTATCTCTTCAACATAGATCTTGAAGTCCTAGCTAGATAAGACAAAGGAAGGAGATAAAGGGAATAACTCAGAAAGGAAGTAGTCGAAGTATCAGTATTTGCAGATGATATGGTAGGATACGTGATTGACTCCAAAATTTCTATTAGAGAACTCATTCAGCTGATAAATGCCTTCAGCAAATTGGCAGCATACAAAATTGACTCAAAGAAATCTGAAGCCCTCTTGTATACAAAAGACAAATGGGCGGAGAAAGATATTAGAAAAACAACCCCCTTCACAATAGCCACAAATAACATAAAGTTCCTTGGTGTGATTTTAACCAATCAAAGGAAAGACCTGTATAAATGAATGAATAGATAGATAGATAGATAGATAGATAGATAGATAGATAAATAAATAAATAAATAAAGCAAGAAAACTTCAAGTCACTGAAGAAAGAAATTGAAGAAGAACCCAGAAGATGGAAAGATTTCCCATGCTCAGGGAGATTAACAGTGAAAATAGCTATCTTACCAAAAGCAACGTACAGATTCAATGCAATTACCATTGAATTACCAAAAAAAAAAAAATCTTTAATGACCTTGAAAGAGTGATTCTCAATTACATATGGAAAAAACAAAACAAAACAAAACATAATAGCTAAAACAAGCGTGTACAATAAAAGGTCATCTGACGTAGCTCCATCACTGATCTCCAGCTGTACTATAGAGCAACAGTAATAAAAATACATGGTACTGCATAGAGACAGACTAGTAGATCAAGAGTATCAAAGAGAAGACCCATAAATAAACCCACACACCTATGGAAACTTGATTTGAGAAAGAGGCCAAAAGCATAAAATGGAAAAAAGGTAACATCTTCAACACATGATGCTGGTCTAACTGGATATCTACATGTAGAAAAAATGCAAATAAAACATATTTATCACCTTGCACAAAAAAAGTAAAATTGGATCAAAGACCTCAACATAAAACCAGACTCAATAAATTTTTTTTAAAAGAAGCCCATGGCAGCTCACTATGCAATTAGGTTTCCTAGTAAGGGGAACTGAGACTGTATCTGACATGAACTCAGTGGATGTCTCTTTGACGACCCCTCTGAGGGGGCAGCAGCCTTGCCAGGCCACAAAAGAGGAAAATGTATCCAGTTCTGATGAGACCTGATAAGCTAAGGTCAGATGGAAGGGGGGGACGACCTCCCCCATCAGTGGACTTGAAGAGGGGCATGGGAGGAGCTGAGGAAGGGAGGGTGGGATTGGGAAATAAAGAGGGAGGTGACTACACCTGGGATAAAAAGCGATTAAAATGTAATTAATGTAAAAATTTAAAATTTAATTTTAAAAAAAGTGGGAAAGAACCTGGAACTCATTGGCACAGGAGACAACCCCCTGAACACAACACCAACAGCCCAAGGTCTAAAATAAGCAATCAATAAATGGAACCTCATGAAGCTATAAAGCAAAGGACACTGTCATCAGAACAAAATGACAGAATACAGACTGGGAAAAGATATTCACCAACCTTATATCTGACAGAGGGCTAATATCCAGAATATATAAAGAACTCAAGAAGTTAAAAAGCAGCAAAACAAGCAATCCAAGTTAAAAACAATGGTGTACAGAGCTAAACAGAGAATTCTCAACAGAGGAATATCGAATGGCAGAGAAACACTTAAAGAAATGCTCAACATCCTTAGCCATCAGGGAAATGGAAATGAAATAAAACCTAAACCTCACAAAGTCCCAACAAAAAAGACAATTTCAATACCAATCTCCCTTAAGAACATTGATGCAAAAATACTCACAAACTGAATGCAAGAACACATCAAATATAACATCAATGATATCATCTACTATGACCAAGTAAGCTTCATCCCAGGTATGGAGGGGTGGTTCACTATACAAAAATCTATCAATGTAATACACCATATACAGAAACTAAAAGAAAAAAAGATAATTTATTTAGATGATGAAAAAGCATTTGTCAAAATCTAACACCCATTCGTGTTTAAAGTTTTGAAGAGATCAGGAATACAAGGCACTTACCTAAACATAGTAAGTGCAATATACAGCAAACCTATAGTCAACATTGAACTTAAAGCAATCCAACTGAAATCAAGGACAAGGCAAGGCTGCTCACTCTCTCCATATCTCTTCAACATAGTGCTTGAAATCCTTGCTAGAACAATAAGACAATTAAAGGAGATCAAGGGGATATGATTTGGAAAGGAAGAAGTCAAAGTATCATTATTTGCAGATGATATGATAGTATATATGAGTGACCTCACAAATTCTACCAGGGAAACTCCTACTGCTGAAAAACACATTCAGCAAAGTGGCTGGATACAAAATTAACTCAAAAAAAAATCAGTAGCCTCCCTGTATCCAAAGGAAAAAAAAAAAAGGATGAGAAAGAAATTAGAGAAAAAAACACCCTTCGCAATAGCCACAAATGACATAAAACACCTTGGTGTGACTCTAACCAAGCAAGTCAAAGATTTATATAAAAAAAACTTTCAGTCTCTGAAGAAAGAAATAGAAGAAGATGGAAAGATCCTCCATGCTTATGGCTTGGTAGGATTAACATAGTAAAAATGGTCATCTTAACAAATGCAATCTACAGATCAATGCACTTCTCATCAAATTACCAACAAAACTCTTCATAGGCCTTGAGAGAAAAATTTTCTACTTCATATGGAATTTCAAGAAACCCAGAATCCCTAAAACAGTTCTCTACAATAAAAGGTTTTCTAGAGGTATCTCCATCCTTCAAGCTGTACTATAGAGCAACAGTAGTAAAACTGCCTAGTACTGGCATGGAAACTGGCTGGTGGATGAATGTAATTGAATAGAAGACCCAGAAATTAACCCACACACTTATAGACACCTGATTTTTGACAAAGATGCCAAAACCATACAATGGAAAAATAATAGCATCTTCAACAACTAGTACTGGTCTAACTGGATATCTACATGTATAAAATGCAGATAGATCCATCCTTACCCTGCACAAAACTAAAGTCCAAGTGGATCAAAGACCTTACTATAAAACCAGACACACTAAACCTGTTAGAAGAAAAAGTGGGGAAAAGCCTTCAATTCATTGGCACAGGAGAAAACTTCCTGAACAGAACACCATCGGAACAGGCTCTAAGATAAAAATCAATAAATGGGATGTGATGAAACTGAAATGCTTCTGTAAAGCAAAGGACATTGTTGTCAGAAAAAAAAAATATGGCAGCCTTCAGACTGGGAAAGGATCTTCACCAACCTTATATCTGACAGAGGGGTAATATACAAAATATGCAAAGAACTCAAGAAATTAAACAGCAAAAAATGAAGTAATCCAATTAAAAATGGAGTACATAATTAAACTGGGAATTCTCAAAAGAGTAATAGCGAAAGAAGAGAAACTTTTAAAGAAATGCTCAACATCCTTAGCTATCAGGGAACTACAAATCAAAAGGGCCCTGAAATTTAACCTTACACCCATCAGAATGGTTAAGATCAAAAACTCAAGTGACAACACATGCTGGAGAGGATGTAGAGAAGAAGAGAACCCTCCTTCATTGCAGGTGAGAATATAACCCTGTACAACCACTTTGAAAATCAATCTGGAACTTGCTCAGACAATGAGGAATAGTGCTACCTCAAGATCCAGCTATACCACTCCTAGCCATATATCTAAAAGATGCTCAGTATACACAAAGGACATTTGCTCAACCATGTTATTTGCAGTTTTATTTGTAATAGTCAGAAGCTGGAAATGACCCAGATGTCCCTCAGTTGAGGAATGGATACAGAAATTGTGGTCCATTTACACATACTACTACTCAACAATTAAAATGAAGGAAATCATGAAATTTGAAGGCAAATGTTTGGAACTAGAAAAATCATCTTCATTTGATGTATCCCAGAAGCAGAAAAACATACACGCTACATACTCACTTATAAGTGGACATTATGAATATAATATGGGTAATAACACTAAAATATGTTCACCTAAGGAAGCTATTCAAGAAGGTGGACCTGGGTAAGATGATCAATCATCATTCAGAAAGGCAAACAGGATGGACATCAGAAGAGGGAGAAGACAGGGAAGAGTACAGGAGTCTACCACAGAGGGCCTCTGAAAGACTACCCTGCAGGGTATCAAAGCAAAGGCTGAGACTCATAGCCAAACTTTGGGCACAGTGCAGGGAATTTTATGAAAGAAGGGGGTAGATAGAAAGGCCTGGAAGGGACAGGAGCTCCACAAGGAGACAAAAAAAAATCCAGGTACAGGGATCTTTTCTGTGTCTGATACCCCAACCAACCGAGGACCATGCATGGAGATAACCTAGAACCCCTGCACAGATGTAGCCCATGGCAATTCAGTGTTCAAGTAATGGGAACAGGGACTGTCTCTGACATGAACTCAGTGGCATGCTCTTTGATCATCTCCCTCTGAGGTGGATACAGCCTTACCAGACCAGAGAAGGAGACAATTCAGCCTCTCCTGCTAAGATCTAGTATCAGATAGAAAGTAAGGAGGATCTCCCCTATCCGTGGACTGTGGTAGTATCATGGGTGGAGTAGAGGGAGGCAGGGTGAGATTGTGAGGGGACTAAGGAGTGTTCTACAGTATGGATACAAAGCGAATAAACTGTAATTAATAAAAAATAAATTAATATAAAAATTAAAAGAAAGAAATAAGAAATGGAAAACAGTCAGGCCATGTAGATACATGTAGAACAAAGGGATGAGTGGGTGGTCTTGGTCTGGCATAGAGAAGTTGTGACATCACAGAGCCAGCTGGTTCAGTTTTTAGCAACAATTAGCCTAGCAACAGATCAGAATCCAGTTAAGATATCCTTGAAAGCCTTCTCTGGCTCTCCTTGAGTTCCCTTAGTCCTATTTCAGGCATCTCTATTTTCCAAGACTTTTAAAGGCAGTCTTAGCGAATATGGAAGAAGACGAAGGTCATCCAGAGGAGACCGAAGATGCTAATAAGAAAGGCAACTCGATGAGAATGAGACTTGACAGGAGCTGTAAGAACAGATTTCTTGAAATCCAGAAGCGTCAGAAAGGATACCTGCTGCCATCTGCTTCTGTGAAGATCCTTCGTGCCTGGCTCTATAAGCACCGATTTAATGCCTACCCTACTGAAGCAGAGAAGCAAATGCTGTCCATGAAGACCAATTTAACATACGTGCAGGTCTCCAACTGGTTTATAAATGCCCGAAGACGCCTTCTCCCAGAAATTCTTCTACATGATTCCGACAACTTCAGCTACAAGGCTATGTATGCAACCCAGAAGCAATACTCTAGTCTGTCTGAGGATATCAAGGCACAGCCTAATCTGCAAGACCAGATGCAGGATCTTCCCATGCCAATATTCCAAGAATCCCAAGAGAAGCTACCAGATCTGAAGTCTTCCCCAAGACAGAAGGTTATCCAGGAAGCCAAAAACCAAGAAGAAGCTGATATTTCAATCAGCGAGCCTTTGTCTTCTCCAGAAACTGTATGGCCAGAGGAAAAGCCTGATTTTAGCAGCTTTTATATTTTGGTTGATGCTGCTGTACAGAAGGCAGCAGAACTGGAGATGGAGAAGCAGGATAATCCCAATCCGTAATTTACCACATGACAGTTCACATAGTCAATCCACTGTACTCTGGTGGGTTCATTTATGCTCAACCCAATTTAACTTGTAAATCCATCTTGTAATAACATCCTTCCCCCCCTTTTTTCAGAAACGTTTTCTATGATCACTTCTCAATTTTGCTAAATATGTCAATACTTTTCCTGATGAAGGTCATCAGCCATGATAACCAGTTCTAACAAATTTCAAAATTTATTCTCTTCTCCTGAGCTTAACATCTATCTATCCATATATATCTCTGATATTAAACATCATGCAAATTTCAATCAAGTATATTCATGGCTAATCTCAATTTCTCTACCCTAAGACATCCCTCTTCCTCTTTAAGTAGCTATATTTATTTATTAGTACAGATAATAGAAAGGAAAAGCTTCAAAACATATTATTATGACACCACTGGCTAAATTTTAATGCATGATATTTTTAAGCTTTCAACTCTGTTTCCCTTTGTACAGTTATTTTGAGTAGGAGTTGTTCTCTGCAGGAATGTGAATATGAAGGCCAAACTAAAGTTATTTCTTAATTTTGGAGGGGATAAGGGTAATCTCTTTAGGTGAATAATAATGAACATTTGGCAAGGTAATTTTATGGAGAACTTCAAATGGAAGTTTACTGCTGACAATTCTTTGTTTCTTCACCGGAGTTGGAGAATGTTTTCTGTTCGTTTTAATTATTACCTGCATCAATGAAGAACATTTTAGTTCAACAGAAATGAGACTCAGATAACCTATGTTTTATTTATTTAACATATTTATCTTTCATTTTACAATGCTTAGGCACAACACTGATAATTTATGGGTCTAAATGTGATTATTAGGAAGTTTTAATTGAGCTTTTAGCAAAGCAGTTTTAATAAATTAATTTTTAACACCTCTGATCTCTCCAGCTGTGGATAATGCTAGCTTTGTGGAGTTTAGATGAATTTTTTGTTGTTGGTGTTAATTTCTGAAGTAATTTCGTAAGTTCTTTTCTTTGAAGGTCTCATAGAATGCTGCAATGAATCCATCTGTTAGCTGGGAAATTTTTAGTTACTCTTTTACTCTTTTTTCTTGTTTTAGATTTATTTCAACATCTTGGTCTAATTTTGGTAAGTCATACTCACCCACTCACCTAGAAAGGGTTAGTATTGCGTGATTTTTTTCCACTTTAGTACAACATATATTTTCATAATATATCATTTTGTTAGATTTAATTAAAATATATTGTAACATTTCTCCTTTTATCCTTAATTTTGTCAATGTGGGTATTCATTCTGTTTTTTTCATGAACTTGGTTGTTTGTTTACCTTCTCAAAGAAGCATCATTTACATTGAATTTTCATCTCTATTTTTTTTTACCTTGTTATTGTCTCTTTCTTTCCATCCAATGTATTAGGATCTGCTTTGCTCTTACATTCTAATATTTTATATTGAGCAGTTAGGTTGTTTATTTGAGCACCTTCTAAGTTTGCCTTCATTTTATCCCATAGGTTTTGAGTTCTATATTTCTTTTCATTCAATTCTAGGGATTTTTTCTTTCTTTCTTGATTTCCTAAAACACTCATTCGTAGTTCAGTAGTGTTTTTACTTTCTATAAATATATATTTTCTATAATTTCTTTTGCCATTGATTTGTAAATTCATTCCTTTGTTATCAAAAAAGAGTTATTTCAATTTTTCTATGTTTGTTTGTTACTTGCTTTGATTCCTGGTGACCAATTTTAGAGAAAATTCTTTTATGGCTTCTAATGTGAATGTGTATCTTGTTATGTTTTGGTAGTATCTTCTGCACATGGCTGTCATAACAGTTAGTTTATGGTTCCATTTAATTCTAGTGTACCTCTGTTTATATTGCCTGTGGTTGATTTGTTATATGGTTCCAGAAGAGTATTAAACTCACCTGTATTAGACTGTAAATATTATTAATCTGTTTCGATATCTTGCAGTATTAATTGTATAAAATTTGATATACCTGTGCTTGGTGTATATATATTTATAAACATAATTTCTTCTTGGTAGATTGTTCTTTTGATCAGTATGAAGTGATCCACTTCTGATTAAGTTTGAACTGAAATCTTTATTCAGGTACTAGAATAGTATCATCTCCATCCAGTGCACCCTCCCTCCCTCTTCCTCCCCTATCCCTTTCCCATAGTCCACTGATAAGGGAAGCCCTCATCTGCTACTGTCTTACCCCAGCCTATCATGGTCCATAAGAAATTCTTGTATCCTCTTCCTCTGTGGGCTGACTACAACATCCAGGGAGGAGTTATCAAGGAGCAGGCAACCAAGTTCAAGACAGAGACTGTCTCTTCTGCCCTTACTAGGGAACCAAAGTTCAGGCTGAGCTGTCTAGGGGTACAACTGAGAAGGGAGTCTATGTCCTCTCTATATATAGTCTTTCATTGTCTTCAGTTCCCCTGGGCCCAGTTTTTTTTTTCTGTTTTTTTTTGTTTTGTTTTGTTTTGTTTTGTTTTTAATCTCATTGTGCGACTCCTGTCTCCTGTGGAACCTTCTATATCTCCCTTCTTCCATAATGTTCCCTGCATTCTCTCCAATGTTTATTTGTGAGTCTACACATTGGCTTTGATCCCGTGCTGGGTAGAGCATTTTAGAGGATATATGTGGTAGGCTCACAACTTCTTCCCTCTCTTATATCACTTCCATTATCTATCCTATTTGCACTTCTGAATGAGAATTACACATCTACTCTAGAGCCTTCCTTGGTGATTATCTTCTTCAGATGTATAGATTTTAGGTGTTTATCTTATATTATATGCTTAATACCCATTTATAAGCAAGTATACAACAGGACTGTCTTTCTTCCTCTGGGTTACCTCACTCAGCATGATCTTTCCTCATTCCATCCATTTGTCTGCAAATTTCATGATTTCCTTGTTTATAATTGCTGAGCAGTATTCCATTCCATAATTGTACAATTTCTGAATTCATTCTTCATTTGAGGGTACATTAGGTTGTTTCCAGATTCTAGCTATGACAGATAAACCAGCTATGAACATAACTGAGCAAATGTCCTTGTTGTACTATTGAGCATAATTTGGATATATTTCCCATGACTGGTATAGCTGGGTATTGAATTAGCACTATTCTTATTTGTCTGAATAAACACCACTGATTTCCAAAGAAGTTATGTAAGCTTACATTCCCACTAGTCATGGAAGAGGGTTTCCCTTTCTCCACAACCTCTCCAGAAGATGTCGCCCCTTGAGATTTCAAAGTTAGCCATTCTGTTGCTTGTAAGGTGAAATCTCAGGGTTGTTTTTTATTTGCATTTCTCCAATTACTAAGGACATTGAGCTTTTCTGTAAGTGTTTCCCTGTCATTTGATAGTCCTCTGTTGAGAATTATCTGATTAGCTCTATACCCAATGTTTTACTTACATTGCTTTTTTTGTTTGTTTGTTTTGTTTAACTTCTTGAGTTCCTTACATATTCTGTATATTAGCACTCTGTCAAACAGCTATACCACTCCTAGGCATATATCCAAAAGACACTCAAGTACACAACAAGGACAACTGCTCCAACATGTTTGTAGCAACTTTATTTGTAATAGCCAGAAGCTGGAAACAGCTCAGATGCCCCTCAGTTGAGGAATGGATACAGAAATTGTGGTACATGTACACAATGGAATATTACTTGCAATAAAAAAATCAAGGAAATCATGACATTTGCAGGTAAATGGGGGGAACTGGAAAAGATCATCCTGAGTGAGGTATCCCAGAAGCATAAAGACACACAGGGTATATATACTCACTCATAAGTGGATACTAGACATATAATATAGGATAAACATACTAAAATCTGTACACCTAAGGAAGCTAATTAGGAAGGAGGACTCTGGCTATGATGCTCAATCCCCTTTCAGAAAGGCAAAGAGGGTGGACATTGAAGGAGGGATAAAACAGGGAACAGGACAGGAGCCTACCACAGAGGGCCTCAGAAAGGCTCTACCCTGCAGGGTATCAAGGCAGATGTTGAGAGTCATAGCCAAATTTGGAGCAGAGTACAGGGAATCTTATGAAAGAAGTGAGAGATAGTAAGACCTGGAGAGGATAGGAGCTCCACAAAGGCAGCAACAGATCCTAAATGTCTGGGCACAGGGATGTTTTCTGAAATTGATACTCCAGCCAAGAACCACTCATAGAGATGGCCTGGAACTCCTGCACAGAGGTAACTTATGGCAGTTCATTATCCAAGTGGCCTCCACAGTAATGGGGACAGGGACTTTCTCTGACATGAACTGATTGGCCTGGTCTTTGATCACCTTCTGTTAAGGGAGGAGCAGCCTTACCAGGCCACAGAAGAAGAAAATGCAAACACTCCTTTTTTATTTTTTTATTAGTTACATTTTATTAACTCTGTATCCCAGCTGTATCCTGCTCCCTCATTCCCTCCCAATCTCACCCTCTCTCCCTCATCTCCATCCTGCCCCTTTCCAAGCCTACTTATTGAGGAGGACCTCCTCCCCTTTCATCTGACCCTGTTTTCTCAGTTATCTTCAGTACTGGCTGCAAAGTCCTCCTCTGTGGCCTAGCACGACTGCTCCTCCCTTGGGGGGTGGGGAGGTCAAAGAGCCTGCCATTGAGTTCCTGTCAGAGACAGACCCTGTTCCTTCTTACTAGGGGAAAACCAACTGGTTACTGAGCTACCACGGGCTACATCAGAGCAGAGGTTCTAGGTTATACCCATACATGATCCTTGGTGGTGTGTCAGTCTCAGAAAAGACCCCTGTGCTCAGATGTATTTGGTCCATGTGGAGCTCCCCTCTGATGAGACCTGATAGACTAGGATCAGAGGGAAGGGGAGGTGCATCTCCCTTTTCAATGGACTGGGAGAGGAACACCAGTGGGGAAGAGGGAGGGTGAGATTAGGAAGGGAGGAGGGAGCGAGGTACAGGGGGGATACAAAGTGAAAAAACCATAATTAATAAAAATAATTATAAAACAAAATGTTTCCTAGTATGTAGGCAGTCACTT